GCCATACTACATCAGCACAGAGATATAATTGTCAATTCAAATCCAATAGTAGAAGAGGTAGTAAAGGTATTAGAAGTAATCGGAGAGGTTAGGATTAGAAGATATTATTCAAGAAGTATGATTCAATGAGATAAGTTTAGAAAGTAAAAACTAGAGGTGTTGAAGAATCCAGAAGATTAGGATTTGAGAGAACACAAAGAATAAATGCACTGGCGCCATTGCGAACGATTTTGAGCCATGTCATTCAAGATCTCTAACCATCGATTATTATCATCTCGCGGACCCCAACCAGGTAGTCGACAATTACCGTCATGGCTAAAGTCCACTCGTCAATGACTTCATGGATTTGTGCCATGTTTTGGTTTGGCCGCCCCTAGCGTTCTTCCAAACTATTCCTACACTACAAAACAAGGCTCGACGAGGCAGTCGGTGGTTGGGCATACGCAATACATGTCCCAACCACCTCAACTGGTGAAGTTTCAATACTTCATCGATTGATCTGCCATTCTTACCTAGCACCCGATTCCTAATAACAGCGTTGCTCACTCGGGTGTCCCACGATATACGAGCAATGCTTCGAAGACATCTATGATCGAAAACCAATAATCGACGAGTATCTTCTACTCTCATTGGCCATGTTTCACAGCCATTAAGTAAGACGGAGCGAACCACTGCGCAGTACACTCGTCCTTTAGTCAGCAAACGGATATCTCGCCTACGCCATAAGTGACGCAGGTTGGCAAAAGCCAATCGAGCCTTCTGTATCCGTGCCGAGATTTCGTCAGTCACCAGGCCATCAGCACTGATGAGACTCCCAAGATAAGTGAAGCGGTCTACACGTTCGACCACTTCACTCCGTATCACTAGTTCAGGTGCCGATGAAACCCAATCTTGAAGCAACATTTTGCATTTCGAGGGTGAGAACCGCATCCCGAACATGCTTGCATTGTTGCTTATGGTAGTCAGAAGACTCTGCATTTTGTCAGCGTCTTCACCAAGTAGGACTATGTCATCGGCATATTCTAAGTCAATAAGCGAGCCGCCTGGTAAAACGTCTATTCCAGAAAATTCAGACGAGGATAAGGTTATTTCTAGGAGCATGTCTATGATAATATTAAACAAGAATGGAGAAAGTGGACATCCCTGACGGACACCACTTGAAGTAGAGAATTCCGGTGACAGTTCGCCATAAGCTCTCACTCGACCAGTGGTGTTCGAGTAGAGAGCTTGTATAAGGTTAATGTACTTATTTGGTACAACTTTCAATGACAGACACTGCCACAGAACCTCACGATCCACTGAGTCAAATGCCGCCTTAAGGTCCAGGAAAACAACTATTGTAGGAGCCCTAAATGTGTGTCTATGTTCCAGGACCTGTCTGAGGGTGAAGACGTGGTCTATACAGCCACGTCCAGGTCGAAAACCAGTCTGGTTTTCTCGAGTTTGCTCTTCACGAGCTTTCGTTAAGCGTCGAAGTATTATTGAGGCCAATATTTAAGATACTATATTAGTTAGACTTATTCCTCTGTGATTGTCACAAGAAGACTTTTGTCCTTTCTTATAGATTGGGACAATCAGTGATTGAGACCAGTCGGATGGGATTGCGTCCAGTTCCCAGATTCTACCTAAGATCTCAGTCAATCTAGCTGCTAAAACTGGACCACCATCCTTAAATATCTCAGGGGTCAGTCTATCAGGACCTGCAGCTCGCCCTCGCTTCAGATTTCCTAACGCTTTTTCAACTTCATTAAGACTAGGGGGACTTACGTCGATTTGCCATTCAGGATGACTGGAGATCGTGGGTAACTGAAGAGTGGCTCGAGGCCAGTTGAACTGATCCCTAAAGTGTTCTGCCCATCGATCCAGTCTCCTGGATTGAGAATAAATAATAGTCCCGTCATTTTCTGAGATAGTCTCACTCACATTCGGGTTCTTAATACCAGTTTCTTTAATAAGGCGGAAAAGTTGTCTACTGTTGCCGATCGCCGCTACCTTTTCCATCGCTTTTGCTTTCGCCACCCACCACTGCTCGCGATCGTTACGTAGGCTTTTCATAAGTCTGCGCCTAAGTTGACTTCGTTCTTCATCATACTCAGAGCCAGGTGGGATGAGTTTTCGGGCATCCATCAGATCGGTGGATGCTACTGAGATCCACGGTTTCATTCTAGCCTTATGGTCAACCTTACTAGCAGATATCACTGCTGTTTCCACAGCCTTTTTGATATCATTCCATCCTGCTTCCGGATGGGAATCGGTTAAATGGTCGCCTAACTGTCTTTCTAGTTGTTCCTGAAATATATTTTTCGCCTTATTATCATTAAGTAAAACCCTAAGAGGCTTTCTTACGGTGTCTTTCCTACGCCTAGTAAGCTTCAAACAAATACGTGCTCGCACTAGGGCATGATCTGAATCCAAACATGTGCCCCAGAACGAGCGACAGTCTTCTATCGAACCCCTCCATCGGTGGCTGATGGCGATGTGATCTAGTTGAGTCCAACGTTGAAACGACTTTGGAGGTCGCCAGGTCAACAGATGCTTTTCCTTATGCCTAAAGTTGGTGTTCGCTAAGAATAGGCGGTTATCTGAGCATAGTTGCAACAGACGGTCGCCATTGTCTGTTCTCTCAGTCGCTACACCATAACATCCACCTAGTGGGGGCATAGGCAGATACGATGAAGAGGCAACGGCGATTGTCCCTATCTTTCCGAGTCCTTACTGTCCCGTTTAGTCGGATGTCGCACAATCGACTATCTATTGGGATCCAGTCAAGGAGAGATTGTTCTGCCCTACGACTCAATGCTATGCCTACGCCAGCAAGACCCCGGGAAGCAGCATCAGGGCTACCGGATACACGAAGGGTAAATCGAGCTGCTTCTTTTTGACAAGGTGAAATCAGATTAATAATTTTACTAGAATCCTGTATGCGCGTTTCCGAGACGCAGCATACATCGATGGCACGAGTTTCTAAAGTCCTAGCTAATGACGCCTGTTGCCCTATTTGACACAATGTCCGTACATTGAATGCTCCAACATGTAGTTTGGAACGGGGTTTAAGGAGACCAGGAACGACGTTTCGCAAACTCGCATCGTTTGCATTAGCTGTGCACTGTAATAAATGAATGTGAGAAGAGTTAGTTGTGGAGATAAGAGAGGTATTAGGGAATGTAGGAAGGATTTGATTTTGAACAATTTTGTCTCGTGTGCTGTTGCGGGTATGAGGGCGGTTATCACTTCCCGGCTGCCCACACCGTGGAAGGTTGTTTCTTGACGAACCTGAAAAGGAAGATGGATTAGTGTTGGTGCGTGACCGCAGAGTCCAAGGGACAACTGCTTCAGGCCGGTCACGCACGGCCTTTTTATGAGAGGTATTTAGAGGATTAGCTCCGTTCTTAAAGGCCCTTAGTGGACACCCTTACCCAAGGAGACGGAAATCAGTGAGTTAGGGGAGGTGTGACATTTTTAGGGCCGACCTTTTCTAACCCTTCCTTCCTTGTGAGAAGGCAGCATCGCTGCAGATGCTGGTTGTCCGAGGGAAACACCTTACTGCTGTCACACCCCTCTGCAGTCAGCAGTACGACTTCGCCCTCAGACCTTGGGTAGCTGCTTTCAGTCTCATCGTTCTCCAATCGACCTGTCTGGCATGGTAGAACCTTGAGGAACATATGTTCCAGCCAGTATAGCTCGGTTGGGTCATCACGATAGGCAAGCCCGACCACCACGTCAAGGTAGCAGCTACGGTCGGGCTTGTGGCTGAAGCTATTACCATGTTAGGTTGGTCTCACACTAAGCTACAAAATAACATAACTAGTGAAGTAGACTAAACCACAATCTGGAATCGGTATATTACTTATATATATTATTGTTTGTTGGACTCACTACATGCTTAATGGAGTGGGTACCCGTTAATATTATACAATAATTGAAAAAGAAATTCGTGTTGTGATGAAAACGTTTCAAAATCTTTTAAATTCACTGGAGAAAAACTGATTGTTTTTCTAAACAGTTCTAGCTTTTCAATGTAAACTATACAGTTACTCGATTTAACAAATAACTGTGTAGTTAGAGAATAGAATCATATAACAGTAAGTAAAAACCAACATCCATGTGGATAATCCATGTAAGTATTAAAGAATACTTTACTGTGATTTAAAACAATGTTATAAATGCAAATATATATACTGATGATAGTTTTGGAACAATTACAGAATAAATATTTGTTTCCCATGAAATAAATTATAAGCTGCAATGACAGAAGCCTATTTGACTCCATTGATTTGAACAAGTGATTAGTTTAGTTGCAATCCAAATTACCGTTACCTTATATGCAGTTCCGGTTCCTAGGTCTTTGTCTTGGGAACTGTGGACCATCATCAGATTTTTCGAATTTTACATGTAAAAAGTCTTATGAGCTTGTCGTCTTTTTCTCTGCTTTGGTTTCTCCAAGATTTTTTACTTGCTATATTAACCATCATGCCTAAAATTACCGACGCCTAGTTAACCCTTGCTAATACTGACCCTTAAACTGCAAGTTATCAACAGCTAGAAGACCTGTTTTTCAAGAAACGAATAAGCATGACTGTATGACAACCAGAGAGATACATGGTTAGCCTCGAAAAAAGTGAAAATGAACTGCAAATATATATATATATATATATATATATATATATATATATATATAAATTTATCTACCAAGTAGAGTTCATGTACTCAACTTTGAGCTAAACGTTTGTGTATGGTCAGGAATATTTCCTTGCTACCCAAACCGAAGTAGTTGGGGAGGCGTTCGAGCATAATGTCTACTACTTGAAAGTCGTTTGCTTTAAACTAAGTCACTGGCAAACGACAGATATGAAAGCATGTTAAATAACATTCACTTATATCTAATTTTCGCACAAACTGTTAAACGAACATCACATTAATTTATCAAGAAACGTAAATTACAATTTAAGGATATCACTAGACAGTTTATGATTTTACAGTAGTTTCAAAAAATAACTAACCAAATATTAACTTTTCATAAACTGCCTTGTCAATCATAACGTCAGCTATCATTTTTTGAGTAACCCATCCACTGGCATGTAATGCGTGAAGAATTGAAATAGCAGGAGTATCATCTTCATTAAAATTCAATCCTTCACTATCCCTGCCATGTTCCCACAGCCAGTATAACAAAGCAGATAAGAAACTTGGAAGTAAACATCTAAGAGGAGCAACTAAATCATCAGGGGGTACTGGACGATTATGTACTTTATCTGGTCCATGAAAACGGCAAAATCTAAAGAGATTGACAATTAATGGGAAATTCAAACAAGTTTAAGAATCATTAATACTGATACTTCGTACACCATTAACATACTACCTCCTGTAATATTCATATCAACGAGATTTTACTTAGATTTTCTAGAAATAAGAGGATGAATATAGAGTCACCTACTAACATTTAGCAATATACTATTACTATCAAAGGAAATGTTGAGTTCGAAATGAGCTAATATTTAATACAAAATCAACATGTATAAATTTAGATCCGCTCTCAATTCAACCAAATTATATAAGGGAAAGATATAGATGAATTTCATTTCTAAATTCTATTTATCCCATAACAATCCTGCAAGAACTATGGGTGAAACGTCTATGCAGTTAGTGATATCAACTGTTACATTCCAAGTTCCGAATCAAAGATATTTTCGCATTCTGATTGCTCATCAATCGAAAGAAATTTTCATCTCTAAACTTGCACTTGTCTAGTTTTACAAATTAAATCCAGAGCTAGTCCTGAAAGACTAAAATTGACCGCTTTGTTTTCACTGCGAACATTAATTACGCCAGTGACAGGTCGATACACAAACGAGATAACCATTTGGCTGTCACGCATTGATGCCCACCTAATGAACGTACTACTATAACTTTGTCCATATTTACTTGCCTTTACTCAGCTTTGCGAGGATCCGAATTTCCTAACCAAAATCAAAGTGACCCTACAAACAATCCGACACTTACTGGTTCTTAAAGTTCCCAAATGAAGGATGAACAGCCAAATAACGCTCCTAAAGACTCAAATATCTGACTGGAACGGTCTTGAAATATTAAGGATTGTTTTTTCATGGTACTTAGATATACTTTACATCATATTAAACCAAGTAATAGGTTTATTAGCTGAATGGTAACAAAGATTGAATTTAGTGACAATCTATTTACTTAAGGACTTGTTGAGTAAATTACCGAAATCAAAGGTGGGGAACTGCTTAGATGTAACCTAAAAACAGAGTTATATCAACTGGCTTATATACAAACGCTGTGATGAACTGGTTACTTATTAAACTATAAATTGTGTAAAATGGGATGAAATAACTTATTTACCCAGACTCTTTCATAACACTTGAGTTACCACAGTCACATGCACCACCAGCATGACTTTTGAACTTGTTAAAATCGTGTCCTTTGTGATTACCGGCAGTGAAACAAGAGCTGCAGAGAGACATACTGGGAGACATTCCACACGTTCTGCAGCGATAAGCAAAATAATTAGTTGTCCATACAAGACTACATCTTGCAGAGTAATCATATTCTTTCACTAAAAGTATTAGTAACAAAATCGACTGCTTTGAAAACCTACGTTTGCGTCTCAGGTTATCGAATCCCAAGTCCCCTGATATAAGATACTCAAAAAGCTTAGTCGTGCATAGCATTTTGTTTTTAGTCCTGAATCGGCTTGTACAGAAACAGTGAAAGCGGAACAGTTTTCGCACAGTAGAAAAAACAGGAGAATCGAAGTGTCCATTGACGCATGCTCCATGAAACTCCTCTCGAAATTCTTCCTTAGTCATATTTAACCTGCTACAAACATATTTGATGAATTCTGGAGGATCCTTGAATTCAATCTCATCAACATCCATCATGTTCGGCGTTATGTGTGACTCTACCGAAAGGCTAGAAATGCCCTAGGAGCAGACCCTCTGATTCGGTGATAATATTTAGTGGTTTGTGATGGAACTGAAGGTACGGTGCGCGCCTGGGGAGCGTAAGAGGAAATCTATAAGGCAAAGTGAGCAGATGACTCAGTGAGCACAGTGAGTGTACTTACATTTAAAAACAAATGCAGACAATGACAGCCGGCAACAACAAAAGCGTTATGTTAAAAGAGTCTAGAAATTCAAAATGAGAGCCAGTAGTATACGTTTCCAAGTGCGTTTCGAAGAAAAGATCTGAAGAGGTCGCCAGATATTTGAAGGCTGTCTGTATGATACAAATAGTATCGAAAAACAACAGTTGTGGTTGTGGTTGTGAAAATTCGAAATCGTTGTAGTTAAAATATATGTATTGATTCATGACTTGTTCGAGGACGAATTTGCAAGAAAATTAGTAATTTATGTCGTGTCTGCCTCATAATTGTGCACCTGGTTACACAATCACAAAATAGTTCAAATGGTTTAAACGGTTCGCGACGGAGGTGAAGAAGATATCGTTCAACGGGGATCCGTATCAAGTAGAAATGGACCACCAATACCTCTAGGTATTAACTTATGTGCATTCAACAGGTAAAAGAAAAATGTGAGTAAATTATAATGAACATCCTCCCCAGGACCTTAAGAATACGGTCAAGTTTCCTTGAACGACCCCAAGAAATTGATATGCTGCCAAGCAGTGTCGTAGGGTGGAAGTGCGGCGCCCCTAAATCTTTTTCGCTCCGCAACGAAATAAATACATGCTCGGTGTCGCCAACTTCTTATACTTGATTTGAAGTAATACTCACGCTTCAAATATTTCTTGGTCCATGCGACTCGTTCAGTTAGGTCGGTGAACTTGCAGCTTTCGTATATTAGCAGTCAAAACTTTTGGTTTTAAATGCATGAGATTCCTCAACCTATTTTCTGAATAAGCCCAGTATGAATATAGAGGCAATCAAGCCACAAAAAACTTTCCAAGTGAGTGGTCCTTGCTACTTCCGTGTGTTTTTCTAATGTTTGACAGCTCACAAGTTGAATGGCCAGATCCGATTTGCTTCTGTGATTATTTCTTGCATCTTACGACCTGCGTGAGAACTCCAGTTGATAAATGGCATCGAAACGAAGTGCCTCAAGAGTGGACAGCCTCCGTTCGAGTACCAGGGGCATCTGTCCTCACCAATCCGGGTCTAGAATCTTCGTCCCGCTTGGCTAGCCGCACAACTTGTTTTGCCAATATATTCTTGGACTCTAAGAACCGTTTCATGAACTTCCACTGACTGCGTTATAGGTATTCGCATTTTCTATGAGTGCTTTCACAATGGTATTTCCTTTGCGAATATCTCGCGAGACACCTTTGGAATTTCGTGAATGAGAAGGCGCTCAGATTATGACGTATCCAGCAGTATCTTCAAATCCCCTGCATATTTCAGCTAGTTGGTGGCAAGTAGCAAATACGATTGTATTGTTAGTTAAAGTCATGAATGGTTTTCGTGTTTGGTATGCTTTCCCTTGTTAGGCTGCGTAACAGTTAGTCGTTCAATGTGAGACATTTTGAGCTTTCTATCCAACTCATTCCGGTTCACCGTGTCGTCTTCGTTATGAAAACTTAAAGAAAGTTCAGAACGTTTCTAAGGTTCAAGATAATGTAAGAATCGTCACGAATGTTAACCGGATTCTCAGATTTCCGGGTAACTCGAGATTAGGATCATTTTTATTTACTCCTATATTTCGATCCAGGTCTTCGAACTTTTAGTAGACCGGTTGGCGAAATGGCCTAAACTTGCTAAGTCAGAAAAAATACTAATACTAATCGAACCGGAAAACCTATTACAGCAATGGTTGTTACTTTTATAACTATTTGATCTTGCCTGTAAATCGACATGATTCGTGCAACACACCTTGTTTAACAACCTGTCGCTGCTTTACACATTTGAAAACTGTCGGACCCGACGTAGACATAAAAATCTAGATTTGAGAGAGATAGGGATCCATTCTGACCACTATTACGAAAATCTCTCACACATAAGGATTTTCCTCAGAATAAACATGAAAAGTCTATGTAGTATCAGGATCTCATGAATTTATAATCACTGAAACATCCGCCAAACCTAATAATGGAAGACGTTAGAGCAAGAAGAAATACTTAGAGACTGGAGAGAAAAATACTTCATCAATAATAAAAATGGTTTACTTTAGTAAATGTGAAAACCATAGATGTTGGATTTTGGTCACCTCCTCCCACAAATATTTGATAAGCAAGAAACGTGCTTATTTCTACTTACTTTTGCTACTCCTAATGGAGTACATGACGTAAAACAGTATTTTCCAACTCACTCTTTCTTGAGCCTTACCTTTCCGTTCTACCCGATTGCCAATCATTCTTTTCGTGTCCGTCGCCGATTTTCGACGCTCCCTGTCCTTGGTCTACCTCTTTTCCGCTCATTAGAGATTGTTACTGATGGTGTCTTGCCAACATATGCAGTTAGTGAACACCCGTATCGTTCGGACTATATGTTCGGGATTTCGCTAATTTTCCGCACCATACATAGATTGGTTTTGAAAACTGGTATTCTGAACTAGTGACTTTGATGTTGGCTGACATTTGTTTTGATTCGGATCCTCGATCCGCGTTCTCATTTACCGACTAAGGTAAACTCATAATAGTTCAAGTATATCAAATGACGTGTTGATGTTCATGCGTAACAATGCTCTTACTTTTTAACTTCTGAATGTCGAGAGTTACTGAAGAAGATGCTTCTGCTACACTGGTCACATTTGTTGTGGCGTGTAGGATACAACGGCTAGATCCTTCGAGAAGTCCAGATTACCCAACTGCACCCGGGCTCTCCACTGGATCCTGTGCTGCCCCCCTCAGATGTTGACGTCCTCATAACCCAACTGACCAACCGGAGAACGAGAACGAATGAGAGTAAGCAATCTTGCTAGTCTTTACTTCAAACGACTCTGTGAGCAGTCTCGATACAGAACTTTGCAGAGTATTTTGTCATAACAATTGAATATGATGTTGATTTACTCCTCGCTCACACCATGGTGTCAATGAATACTCCATTGAGTAAGTCTTTGTTGGTGGGACATCATCAATTAGTGGCTCCTTTAGAGCTGTTTCGATGTTGGGCGAGATCAGTGGAGCAGTTCAATTCAAGTGTTCTTCGACTTACTGCACCCATTTGCTTCACAGTGATTGGTTCTCGATATTTTCCAGTAAGTTTTTCGTCGTAACATGTAGTTGCTTCATGTTTCCGTTTCTCGCAGTTTTTTTCTGCTACCACTGCTGTCTTCAACATATTTCTGCTTATCAGTTTTGGTGCTCCTCTTTAATTGCTTGTTTGCTTCTGTGTGTCAGTCATGTTTTTCTGTTAAGTCTGCCCCTGTAGGGCTGAAATTGGTTGCAGCGTTCTTGTTTTGAATTTCCGGAGTATTTTCCCGACTATCGAAAGAAATCTACTCCCCCTGTTGGTTGTTCCTGTGGCTCAAAACTTCATGACAGGTTGAAGCTGTTGCATCTTTGATCCTTTCTCGGTTATTTTAAACGGTAGTTTCCTCGTCATTTAATAGGCTGTGAAAGGATTGGAACTCGTTGCTGAGAGCTTACTTGAATTGGTTGTTTTTTAAGGATCCTTAAGTAAGTTCGTAACAAAGTTTTGTGATGCTGCTCGTCCAGTTAACCAAGGCCTCTGGAGTCCCAGTTACATCTTGGCTATTACCGAGTGATTAGTCACTTCTCTTAGTTCTCTCGTCCTCCATGATCCACCTCAATTTTTTTATTGATTCAGATGTGGGGGCATGGCGGTGAATAGCATTCATAATAATCCCCACTTTCTATGTCTCGAAGGGCGCTTTGAGTATTCTCGTTCAGTTGGATCCCCGTCCTATTGATGCTTTATTACTACTTGAGATGGCGTCAATGCAACTTCTAGTATATATGAGGAAACCTCTACCAGAACGACCTAAGTCACCACATCATCTTCATTTGTACATATAGCATTTTGAATGTTACTCAAACCTAAAGGAGCACTTGTAATGGATTGACTCGTACTGTGTGAAGCATCTTGCTTCTGAAAGATCGGTGATTTACTACTTCGGTAAAACTATGTAAACTGAAATGATCGGAATTTCTAGTAGAGCTTGTTAACATATTGAAATCGGTTGCATTGCATGATACAATTTCAGAAAGTAAAGTTGCCGATGTTTTGTGTAGACTCGCAACATGGTGCAGGCACTGCATGGTTGAAATCCTAGATGGACATGTATGCAGGTAGGGAACAGTGATAAATTTGGAGTGAAATGAGTAGAACTATTGATGAAAATTTGACTCAGCAGTGAGAGTGAAATATATTGCACCATTCCGCGTTTATACATAGTCATTTCAGTAAATTAAGTACAGAGCGTTGCATATTCACTCTTTGTTCACAATCCGAAATGCTTGATTTATTATTGTTTCTACGTGTTGAGGTTGACTTTACTCTTTTTTAGAAGTTGACAATGGTAATAAAAAGTTGAACTTTGTAAACGAATAACTAAACATTATCCTGCACGGCTGCCTAAATGAGACTGTAAATCAGTCAGCAGCTCAATCGTTGACAATATGTTGAATTCGGGTCACAATCCATGACGTTAATCGTCTCTAAAATCCTCTATACAGTGAGATAAACCAGATAAAAAGATTTGAATGAGGAATGTGTACACAGCTATGGCTACCGTAATTTACTAATTCAAAAGCAGCCTCTGTATACAGCACAGATATTTTCAGTATCTTTTTTCCATGGTCTCAACACACCTCTGGATTTTCACAAATCATTGGAGCCAATTATAATCTGAGTCTCCCCTTCCATTACAGAGTGGTTAAATTCCTTTAAAGTTTTGTCTCTTGATGGTTCTTTAGTGAGTTGATACAAACATATTTCTTCACGGGATTACTAAGTTAAATCTCGATTAAATTCAGAAGTCAAAGAAAAGACTATTCTGGATGAAGAAGTATATTAATCACTGGCCTCGTGATATCGTAATAATATCAAGACCAGAATGCAGGAACGGCTAACAACCAACGAGGAGAGAAGATTAATGGAAGTGACATACTTGGCGCGCGAGAGATAGTCTTCAGTACAGTTAAACAAAAGGAGTACAATGTAGCAATTATTGTTAGAATAGTAAATGTTATGTTATCTTCGTAAAAGTATACCGTTACATTTTGCGTTATTTTGTAGATTTATGTAGCTTCACTCACTCAATAGTTTAAAAATCAATATCATTGAAATAACCCTCGGCCTTTCATAAATTATCATCACAACTTTACTCTTCACTTAAAATCTTTGTGATAACCATATGACGCAACTTTACTTCATTTTCACTATCAACTTCAGTAAGTATGACTGTTGGTGACAATCCCGAGAACCTCCCTATTTACTCTAGTCAACTGCGTGAAAAACTAACTATTAATGCGACTGTGAAGTTATGGAAAGTGATATCGTCATTCTTATTCCGGATGTTTTATATTCATTGACCGGTTAGTCGGATGATTTGGTTATGACCCAATGACATTTCCCTGGTTTTACAGACGTTTCCTTAACTTAGTTCCCACACGCCGGACATGTTCGAGTGTGATAGAAACCTAAGTCAGATAACTGCTTACTCCGACTGACCTCTTCAAGCGATTAGATATGCAATGTTATCAAAAGATTAACACTTACTGAGTGCCACCCTTAAACTGCTGTGCAAATCTACTGTTGAATATTGGACCAGGCAATCAAACTTCTCATGCGTTACACTTACTGAACAGTCTGTAACGCAATGCAGTCAGGTTACGCCAAACCTGTGGATCCTATTGATTTAGAGTGTTTCCTAAAAGTTGATGAACTGAAGGTATTTTTATATTTCGTTTATTTTTTCTGAAGAAAGTAGAAAAGTGTCCACCAGATATATGTAGGATTTACTAGTTTTATTAACAGCATAAAGTTTTCAGTTTGGAAACCAATCCTATTACTGATGGTTCTGCATACCTTGAGGTCGGTGAAATTAAGGTTTCGTGCTTCGTCAATGGTCCCACTGAGGTATGCAAGTCATGTATTACAAACAGTTAAACTGATTCTAATATAGATGCGTCAAGACAGTCAGTTATTTGTAGTACTTAAATTTGCACCTTTCTTGTCCTGGTTACCGAAGGATGTGCAAACGTCTATGGAAAGAAAGCTTAGTCGACTTCTTCTAAGTGCGATTGAACCTTCTGTCATGCTTGTAAGTCTGAGCCAAACTAAATTATTAAACTTTGTTTGCTGACTACTTAATTTATGTTTCGTTTTTACAGAAATTTTTATAAAAGTTATTACACTTGAAAATAATCGATTTGTTAGTCAGCTGATCAAAATACTATGTACAATCGGATAACCTAACACATTAAGTTTCATACTTCCGTGTTCTTCCTATACCATATGTAATGCAATTTTTCAGATGAATTAACTTGGTGTACGTACTTAGGTTTTTCTTTTGTAAGCTATCCCATCTTCCCTGATTAATATCAAAACACCTTCCCAAACTGTAAATGTTAGGAACTTACCGGCAAAGCTATTACTTGAGCATGTGTTTCATTACCACTGAATACCGTCGCACAACCAGCGTTGTTTCACGAAAGCCACGGGTAGAATCGATATCCATTCCTGAAATAGGCATTTGAACTCTTAAAGGTTCGCTTTACAGTCGTAAAGCCCGAACTCCGAACTAGTTGTGTGTATAGTTTTATCAAAAAACTGAATGAAATCTCGGCCCGTGGATGGTGCGATATGACTGTACATAATCGAGTCACAGACATTTTGGCTGGCTAACAATCGTAGACCTGGTTTTACTTACAAACCATACTGTTCTTACACAACAGTGACACTAATAAATATGAACAGAATTTATTCGAACTGTTAGTTTTTACAAATTATTTAATCACTGATATTAAGAAACACTCATTTGAATTATCGCTTTCCATCTCATATGAGTTTTGGGGAGCGTAAATTAATGTGTCACAGATGATCTTACTCTGGTAACTGACTACCATTTCAATACATTTTGAACATTTTTGATCAACAGGCATATGAATTGTTTGTTACCACATCGTTACAAGAAGAAATATTGAATTAATCGCCTTTTTCACCAGTACAAAGACGATAGTCGTTTTATCCTAGATAACTATTATTACGTTTTAGTACGTTTCCGGATCCTTTTATTTCCATGTAGCCTAATGTGTAATATTGACAAGACTCCCTTCTTCTCCTAGCAGTTATAAACTTCTAACGTATATCTAAGATTTGCCACCGAATGTAATATTCTTCAAATAACATGTAGTTTAAACTGTATCATTGACACCAACAATATAATACAGATCAGACTAGTCTACCCAGGGGTTAAGATATATGGCTTTCAACAAGTCGGTAGTAGGTTCTAGTCCTCCTTCATTTATGGCCTCAAAATCCGGTTAGTATTACCAACCTATACTGAAACAATGGGACTCAAAGCTGAGAACATTAACATGTAATTGCAGAATGTGTTACTTATGTATCTAAGGTCCTTGTGAAATATGTATGCCGCTACTGAAAACGAAATTGTGGCTGTAATCAGATCTCACGAATATATACTTGGTCGCTGGGCTGAGTCGACCTCTGTTTCAAAGCCCTATAATGTCACTCGAGCTGTCGACATCTGTTCTGACATTCCACTATCTACTCAAATATAACTACCCGGTCAACGTAAGTTATTTATTACTTACCCCTTTAAAAGGCTGATTACTAATCTAATGAATGTCTCGTTGATTTAAAATACACTCTTGGTTGTTTCTGTCCTTTGCATGTACTACCTACAAGATAACAATGACTCGAATATTTCGATTATATGGTTCGAAATCAAGCAAAATAATCAGTCAAAAATAAATCTCGATATGTTATTAATACTTTGTGCTTTTGTTTGTTTCTAGTTGCTTCATTCACATCCTTCACTGGTATTTTTTCCACTAATCATATTACTTTCCATCTGCTCCTTTTTAAGCATCAGTTTCCAAGAGGCAAATATGAAATAGTGACAAACATTTTGGATATACCTTCACATAATCCCAGTGGATTGATAGGGGATTGTCTGGCTGCTGCCATTACATGTGCAGGTTTAGCCCTGCTCAACTCAGGTGTTCAGATGTATGATCTTCTAGTTGGATTAAATTTAGATCTCTCCGCTCTTGGTGATATAAATGGACACCTTTGTGTTGCTGTTCTACCTCGTCTTCGTCAGTTTTCTATGCTTTATACTGTAGATTCACATATGCCTAACACTGAGTTTCTCCAAAATTCTCTAACTCATGCAATGGAAAATTGTATCAAACTTGCAGATGTAATTCGAAGCCATCTTTGTGGACAGCTTAAAACTAAAATAAAATGAGTATGTACAGTTTCTTTCTTTTACTAGTACTTAATGTCAGGTGCCGAACCCTATAAAATAAAGTTTCTGGTGACATCTGTAGGTTGTATGACACTAGTCAGGCCTTTTATTAGAAATGGATTTCTCAGTCTTTTATTATATCAGTTATTATAAATATTAAAATGTCATAATTCCAGACATCTCACTTATATTCGCAAATAAATCAAAATCATCTAAATAACTCTCAAGGAATCGAAAACCAATCGAATAGTAAGTTTTGACATCCACGTACACAAAAATTTAGCTCACCTGGTACAGATTCGTTTAGTCCACCTAATGGTACTATCCAAGCTTAAGTAGGTTAGACATGGTTTGGAAATGTGGCTTAATGGCTCACCACAATGTAACTGTATTTAGTTTAATGGAGTCATGTTTTTATGTAGTCAGACATATGTCTAGTTAGTGAATAGAAAAATAAAACAAACCTAAGGAGAAATAGAAAAAGCAGGTAAACAAGTACAAATAATTAAGACGGGAAATTTTCAGTTAGCCTAACCTGTAATCCATATCTACTATTGCTATACTGTCTTGGGGTCACGATACTGATTTCATGTTTATGCAGTAATAAGTCGTTTTCTTAATGGACTAGATCCTGAGCCATTGAGTAAGGCATGAACAGAAAACGGTGGATTAGTGTAAGTGGATATGGTGCCCTAGATGCAAGTAACTGAACTAACAATAAGACATTTGTGCTCAGGACAATAGAATACGTCAATACCAGTGATTCGGAATTATTGTTTTAAAAATATCTCCAGGAAACAATATGCACTCACCGATCCACCTCAAGTGCTGGACTGCTCACTCCCTTACTTCGGTATAAACACCAAACTGTATGATTGGTGAGTAGAACTCTTCCAAAAGAGGTGGTATGAAGCCACTTCGAAAGATCGAGATCAAATTCCTTACTTTCAACCATAAACCAGAGCATCTTAAGCTAATCGTAATACGATAAGACTTGTTATTTATCTAGAGTCCAAACATATTATATGAAACTCAGTTTTGTTGGCACTTCATAAAGCTTGTCAACAATATATCTTAAATTTCTTCAAGCTATTTCGTTACGATTGCTGAACTGCTTCATAGAATAAAATAAACTGTTTTTCAGTATCCAATAACACATTAGGTAAAACGACATCTGATCAATCAGATTTCCAACTAACTCTTAAGGAAATTACTTTCCCTAACAAATTAAGATAAAGAATCCTATGCACATAAGTTAACAATCTCTCTGGTCGAATAAATCATTCAAATAACTTGGATCGTAAGAATCTGTCATCACCAAATATACTACCATGATTGTCCGTGTAATATCATGCATAACTTAGAATAACGCTCACTTGTCGGTCTTGTAATCCGTTGGTAACGTGCTAAAGCTTTTTCTTCCTACTGCTCAAGGATTGATTACATATTCTGCATTAATGACAAGTGTTTCTTGCATATACTGTCAGCCTATACAAGTGAAAGAACCGAAAAACGCAGTGAATAAATTAAGTAGGAATGTACTGAAACGGACTGCACGAAGTATTAACATTAGATATTACCCACCCGCCCCCATGAACGTTCTTAAATTTATCAGGAACTACTGTATAGGGGATTTGTGAAAACTGCTAAATTTCTTTGGTTAACATCACCGGATAGTTGTTTCATCCTAGAAACCTAAAGCTCCTGTATCTGACCGCCAGTGAAGTCGGTCAGTTGCAACGTAGAACTACGTACGTATGTACATAAGTTCATGTTGCCATACCACAATAGCACAAAGACGCAAATGTCAAATCAAATCCCATAGTGATAAAAATAGTAGAAGAATTACTGTTAATGGATAAGATTAGGATTTGAAGTTAATATTCAAGAAGTATGATTCAGTGAGATAAGGTTAGAAGACAAATGTAGAGGTGCTGACGAATACAGAAGATTAGGATTTGAGAGAGCTCACAACAAATGGACGCACTTGCGCCATTGAAAACGATTTTGAGCCATGTCGTTCAAGGTCTCTAACCATTGGTGACTTTCGTCTCACGGACTCCAACCACGAGAAAGACAAAGCTGATGAAGAATTCATAAGATTAGAATTTGAGAGAACACAAAAAAGAGTGGAAACACCTACGCCAATACAAACAACTTTAAATCATGTCATTCGACGGTTACTACTATCAAAAACTCGCGAATCCAAAACCAGGTGGCAGTGTTTACGCCTACATCAAAAAATCGAACAGAATTACAAAATAAAACACACAAAGAGTGGATGCACCTGCGCCATTGCAATCGATTTTGAGCCATGTCGTTCAAGGTCTCTAACCATTGATGACTTTCGTCTCGCGGACCCCAACCAGGTAGTCTACATCTACCAACATGACTCAGTCCACTTGTCAGTGACTTCATGGATTTCTGCCATGCTTTGGTCTGGCCGCCCCTAACTTTCTTCCAACCTACTCCTACACCACAAAACATAGCTCGTCGGGGCAGTCGGTGGTTAGCCATACGTAAAACATGTCCCAACCACCTCAACTGATGAAGTTTCACTACTTCATCTATTGATCTGCCATCCTTACCTAGTACTCGTTTCCTAACGACAGCATTGCTTACTCGGCTGTCCCACGATATACGAGCAATGCTTCTTAAACATCTATGATCGAATACTAGTAACCTACGAATATCTTCTACTCTTAACGGCCAGTGAAGTCGTGGATGCACACAATTTGGTCCCAGATTTTCAGTGCATCCTGGTTTTCAGCAGCTGCTCAACTAAGACTAGTTCAGAATGTTAACTATAAAAACTACTCGGGAATAACTAGAAACATTTAAATTAGTACTAATGCTTTAGTCCGTTCTACTCGCAGTTGTAATTTACCAAAATGTCATTACCACGCAGTGTATCTTGTCATCGACGTATAATTAAGTAATAAGCACTTATAATATCATCTGTGAACTTGTTAAAGCAAAACCGGCCCTTAGGTAAATTTTGGACACATCAACATACTGCGTTAAATAAGCTGATTAACAAGCCTAACTGTTTCATCTAATCCAAACCCTAACGTAGCTGCTATCTTGATGTAGTGGTAAGATTTGTTCATCGCAGTGATCAGGAGCTATATTACCCGAAACAAATTTCCTTTAGGTTCTGCTATGCTGGGCAAGTCTGTTGGTGAATTGTGGGACTAAAATCATCTTACCCTATGAATCTTCATCTCTTCAGGTTCACAGAACGCTATTCCTGGTCTCTTAAAATCACGCTTTGGAGCTCGCAGTGTTCGGACTTCACGTCAAATAGACCAATTGGTCTCTTTAGTTACGATTCTAAAATCCCACCCTGTTGATATATAGGATGTGCTTGAAGTCTTTCTGCACGACTACATAGACCGAGACCCATTCAGTTCATGAAAGCAAGCATACACATCGAGCAGTCCCTTTGGTCTGTGATTTTGCTTCTCGAAAGACTGATATCAGTTACGGCACTGGCGTGAGCGACTAGTGCGATCTCCACCGATTGCCTAAGTTAGTTAACAGGGTGACAACTAAGAATGCTGATGATTAATCATCAGTTAATCATTACCATTTTGTCTGTGAATGTCAATTATAAACACTAAAAACTGGGTTGGAAATATGCCGTCATGATTTAGCAAAATTAAAAAGTTCAAGCCATCGAAAATCTCCATCTTTATTAAGAAATAAAGTCATGATATAAAAAATCGAAATTATCATCAATGTCAAACGCGATTCATAAAACAATTATTGTACAAACAAGACAAAACTATGTATTCGCTTTCTACTTTGGTAGACGACTGAACTTATACGAATTAAGAAGAAAAAGCGACATCAATGCAGATTTATTATCTTTAGTCATCCAGATCTAGACCGTATTCAGAATACAAATCTCGGACCAGACAACCTCGATTATTCGCTAACAGACCGAATAGTATTATACATGAATCTTTGGCTTCATTGTAAGCATGCAAACGATTACGACATTGAGCTAATTCCACTTCCAAATCAATGCAACTTTGGTTTGGTCGCTTTGATAACAATTCGTCAACACACTTTTCTATTTCATTGTTGTCATCCAAGTCATCGCCATCCTCGTTGTCGCTAATATCACCAATACTAACTCTAGCAATCGGAATGTTTTCCTTCTCCGGGTGTAGTTCAGTTTGGAATGGGCTGGTTTGTTCATCAGCATTATGAAAGCTTGATTGACTTCCCTGGAAAAAATAGAAATATTATATGTATTATATTCTGAGTAAGATTTATTTCGCTGCACTCTAGATTGAATGGAACACTAGTGATCAGATGCGATCACATATCTCGTAGATAATACTTACACCAAAGGGTATAAGTAGTATCACATCTGAACTAAAATCCAAGATGGCACATTGCAAAATACAGTCATACTGACTTGGGTATAGAGGTTGTTCATCTCGGAATATAAAATGCGGTACGTAAACATCTGTACACTTACTGAATAATGTAAATGGGCAATTGGGGCAATAAGATATAGATCAGTTTAACTCGCTGGAAAGATGCTAATTGTAAAAGAGTAACAATTATGAATGCTGAGTATTATTAGATAACCTAAACTTAGAAGGCATGTCCCTCATGTATGTAACGTTCACAATCCACGAAGTATGATAAACTCTGCTGAGACTAATATTCTTCATTGATCAACATATTGATACGCAATACCACATTAGCAAACAGAGATCGAATTTCCAATTCTAGAGAGTGGTAAAAAGCCTGAGGATAATGATCTAATCAATATGAGTTCCATAAGGGTGAAAGTAAAATCTATTAAAACATGGTTGGTAGTGCATTGCTAAGATTTCTAACATGTTCTGGCAAACGAATATGTTTAGGAAAGAACATATAAAAAGTACTTTGGAAAACAGAAAGTATGTTGTCTTGACCTACGATGGCTAACAGAGTAATGGTTCCTTCAAAGTTGAGAGCATTAGCTGTGTATATTAAGATCACTAAACAATGCCTATTCGTAGACATTTATTTTTAAAGTGTTCAGGGTCTACAGAAAAGGATAATTATGTGGAAGAAATGGAGAAATCGACAGCCCAAGTAACTCAGCCTAAAGCCGTTCTAGGGTTATGCCCAGCGTTAAACGCAGATAAAGGAGAGGTTGGGCATGAAGTTAGCAACTCCATTCTGCAGAAAAAACATTGCTAAATTACGCTAGCTAAGGAAATCACTTTAACACAGCCCAAGTAAGAAAATAAAGGTTGGCCACAACTACAAGCAGACCCGAAGAAATTTTGTTGTTGTTATCTATCTACATCAATTACAAAAAGAGCTGCATATTTTAATAGTAAACCTGTGTACAACGCTGCTCATTTAGTCGCTCAGCTTATTCTCGTACTGTCTATTTACATGACAGGAAAACAATAGCATTAAAACATCCAAAATGAAGTTGAACAAATGAATGGATGAAGCAGCAACTCGGAAACAGTCAATTCAAATATAAAATTGGCTATCATTGTTAAACATTATTTCCTGACCTCGTTTCAATTGACAACTTAGAGGATTTTGTAACCCAAATGACAATGAAACCTCTATAAATTAAGGGTTCATTTGAAAAAAAGGGTGCCAATACAATAGAACAAATAATTCAACAGAATCATAAGCTTTTCTCTTTTAAAATCAGACTCAAATATTTTATTACTAATAAGTAATGGGATACAAATAGGATAGAAAAACGATTAGATTTCACTGAGTAAAAAAAACATAACAGAAAATAACTTACAATAACTCTTACTTGTTTATTAGTTTCATTGTTTCGATTGTTAACATCAGGATCAGTGAAACTGCTACTTTCATTGATCTTTTTTAATGGAGATTTAAACGGAGCATTTATACTGGAGTGTCGCTTTTTACTCTTTCTAGCAGGTGTTGACATATTGAACAACTAAATATTCACAGGAAGTATGTAAATAATGAGGTATTAACAGGTACATTTATATACAGGAGAAAAATTGGTATACAATAAAATAGTCATCTATTTACATTGGGCAAATTACATAATGTAAAAAAATTAACTAGGAAGATTTTATTGATAGCATAGTAACAAGGAGGATCGCAACAATACTGATGGTTTTACTGGTCATCTTTTTTCGAAGAAAATCCTTGAGCTATACACTGTGGACAATACCATTGTCCACGTGGTTTATTCACTAGGCCAACACACTCAAAGTGGAACCACTCAATTGGGCAATCGTGATTATCGCATGCAACCATTTCGCCATAGGATACTTGTTGACATATACAATAGGTAGGCTCGTTTGGATCAACTGGCATGTCTAATACTTCTCTAGGATTATTTGTCAACGCTAATGCCAATGCCGCAGTAGCTGGAATTCTAGATTAAAAACAAATAAAAAACGAAACAGAGTAACTCAAACAAATTTACGAAAAGTTGGATGCATTCTCGAGTATTAGATAGAAAGCATAATAGCATAATAGTATTCCCGAGCTCCATCACGCTGACAGTTTGCATTCAAAATAGAATGCCCTTTGCGTATATACACAGAGTTCGACAACAATATTTAGTGTCAGGCATCTGTTTCGCGAGTTCACCTTCATAACTCCTACATTAAAAGTCCAGACTCCAGCTTAGCAAACTAGTTGCCATTCATTTATATTCTCCAGAAGTTTGAACTCTTTGTTCCTATTTAGCACACAATATGGAGTTCTAACATCTTGTATCATAAAATATGTATTACAGAGTGAACTCTATACATCTGAGTAAACAAACATTAAAACATCGGCTTTATATGAATATATCACGATAAATGGGATAGAGTGAAAACTTACTTGGGAGAAATTATCGGCTCTTGTTCTTGTTTTGTTCGAGACTTTTTCACCTTCTTAGACTCTTTCTCAGCTGAAATCATAATACAATCAAAACCCATGCACATCTACCTAATGCCTTTTTGAATTCGAACATATCTGCATCTAATCGACGTATTTGTTTGTCAACTAGTTCGTACGCACTTTCAGCTCTGGATACCTTATCATTACTAATTTCTTTGCCTTTCCTAAATAAATTTTGTATTTGTTCGATTTGTGCTTTGCGTTCTTCCTTAGACATTTCACTTGCGTGTTCAAATAAGTAGGTTGTGCGCTGTTGTGTTTGACGGATAATATCTTGGACCTTCTGATCAAGATCACGCATAATCTCAAATTCTTGTCGCAAATGAGGTGGTAAATGTTCTAAATCTAAATACAAAATTCGTAAAACAAAGGACTATTGACAAGTAGAAAGACTTGAAGGCTTTATTTAGCGTTAGATGCAATAGGAAAAAGATCAATTAGGGTTTACACAAGCTATAAATTATTTCAATGTCGATCATCAGGAGCACTACTTGGATGGTGAAATGAAAGAACATCCCATTGGTAGTGCAAAATTTGTGACTGAGTCACAACCAATGAAACTGAACTATTACAATGAGTAAAAGTTATAAGTTGGATGATAACAAGTTGAACAGATAGTAACTCGAAAAGATGCATACATTTGTCAGGTTCAATGTTGCGTATGAAGGACTGATTGAAATTTAGAGAGAAATGTGATGACTCAATGGGAAAAATCTCAATTCTTACGGTTTTCATGTAAACAACGTTTAAATTCGTATCATTCGCATATCACTGTAAATATACCGAAAATGTTGAGCAGAAGTGAAAATATGCTATAACGACACCAGTAGCCTTTAGGTGAAGTAATCTCAGTAATACAGTCGGCTTAAAAGGTATTTGAGGTTACGGGAATCACAGAGGTTGGAGATTAGCGATATTTAGATACAGCTAATGGATTTTAAGCTTTGCAGAACTGATAGACTGTGAACATACGAAAAAGACTGGTTACAAAAACTATTAGGCCGGTAGTACACGTAAAGAAACCATGCGAACTGATATGATATCAGCTGAAATAAAGGGATAGGATCATTCATACTTTGTCGAAGTTTTGAACAAGAGGCCACTAAATTGTGTTCTTACATACTGAAAGCAATCAGACAGTTGCAGTATTTTGATTAGTAGTTACCTTACGACATCATCGAAAGGGACTTCCAACCACAAGAGTAGGATATTTGAACCCTGCCAAAACTACTTCAGTTTCGAAAGGTAGGTGGGAGGAAAAATTGCTAGAAAATATGGCACAAAGTCAAATACACAAGTGTGCAGTCAGTAAACAAGTTATTTTATAAAATGTGACAACACAGACGCACTAACACCTGTGAAATTTTATGTTGTTGAGATGCAATCTCTAAATACAATTTATGAAGAATGAAACCAACTTCGATTTCATTTCGAATGTAAACTTTTCTCTCTACTCAGTGAAACAGGCGAAAAGATAGTTTTTCACTGTATCGAAGTCCTAGACGCAAATACGCTAGCTTAATACATGAGAATACCAGTTACCTGTGATTCACTAACTTCTTCAAATCTTAACTAATCTACTTAATGGATAGTACCAAGGCTAAATTTACTAGCTAGAACCTATCGGGATGATCATACACTTAGCATTTTTGATTTCATTGCTGCTGTAGTCTTATGGCTCAATAGGCCATTTTATGAAACAAAAAAGGATTAAGGAGCATCAGAATCATTCTGAAAACAGTGAAGGTGAAGTGATACTACAGTAGTTGAAGATCCATCTTGCATGGCTGTCTGTCGAACAACATAAGAGAATTTCATCTGCTTACAGAGGTAATCATTCCTTATCCAATAGGGCCATGACAAAACAAAGGCTAGCTGCTCAGTCGATTGCCAGAAAAGACCCACTTTCAAACATACTAGTGTCAGAAGGTGAATCATCATGCATCTATTTGTATATATCAACTAGGATGACATAACAGCAGGTAAACAAGACTAAATGAGGTATATCTGAAACTGTTCAGACAGTTTCAATTGTATGTAATTATCTTTTTGACACCAGTATTTACTCATCGAGCCTGACTTAACACTTAATGCAAAACCTACTTTAATATATGGGCAACGATTTTCTTTGTTTCTAAATGGTTCGATAGAATAAATTAGCTGGCTCCCAAAAAAAATGAGGCACATTAAGGCCGTCCAGTAACAGTCAAGCAACCACAACTAATATTAGGACTGAAAGCTACACAGGCAGATAGTTAATTATGTAAGGAAATATTTTCCGAAATAAACACAAACCTTCCATATACTTCTGTAAATACTCCATCCTCAAAAAAGGATTCGGATGCGCGCCTTAAATCAGAAACATACTAAGTCTTGAAGTGGGATAAAAAACTTTGCGTGACGGGCTTTATAATATGGAATATACAATATCTTTTTGAGGAGCTTGTATAAACCACTTGATTTCTTTGCTATGTCTTGTTTCTTCGGTACGGTGCCGAGAGTTTGTTTGTGTCCAATGGATGGTGGATTAGCCACTCGGCTGCACTAATTCTTGTCAGTTGTCAGTTGCTTGGGAATTTGTATATCCTGTGAGTACGTTTGTTTCAGTAATGTAATGTTTCTAGATTGTAGTGGTATACTTTTACGAAGAAAACACAATTGCTGAAATATAAACATTTATTACTGTACTTGATTCTGACAATAACTGTTATATTGTACGCCTCTTGTTTTTCTATATTAAAGACTATCTCTCGCGCATAAAGCGTGTTATTCTCATTCTCCTCTTCTAACGTCTCCTAAGTGGACGTTAGCCGTTTGTACGCCCTCTATCCTCGATATTATTTCGACATCACGATGCTAGCATTAAACAGATTTCTTCCTCTAAAATCGCCTTTTTATCTGATTCTTAGAGTAAGGGTATTAACATTTGTTATCCTGCAAGTTAGTATATGATTCGATTGGCTATACTGGTGAGACACAACTTCGAATACGCAGTAAATTCGGTGAGTCTGTAATTTTTCTATCCAATTTTCTTACTATTTTATCTGTTGCGTAATATATATCGTTATTTTCGTATATATATATATATATATATATATATATATATATATATATATATATATACAACTGCAGCAGTGTTCGAAAATGTCAGATAAACTTAAAAACGACGATATTTTAGCAGACTCCCAGATACAGGTTCTAAATTTTCGACATGCAGCGTTTATGCCCCGCGATCCAGAGGTCTGGTTCGCGGTCCTGGAAGCTCAGTTTGAGATCCGCTGCGTTACGAAACGGAGGCTAATGTACGCCTTCGCCAAAAGACATCTGCCTGGGGATAATGCAGCCGCCGTCTTTGAGGCTGTCCTCAATTCTGGTGTACCAGACGTCTACGATCGCCTCAAGCAGACGATTCTTCGACATTTCCTGGTGCTGGTGCTGGTTCCACTAGACTTTCAGGTCTGGCGCCCGTCATTGTCGAGCCTCCCGCTCATATAAGGCGAGAAACTTCAAAGCCGACGAATAAATGCGGCCTAACTCGTTAGCACTTCACCTCAGGTGGGCCTCCTATTGTACGTGCACGACACCAGTACTAACGCCAAGTACCTCGTTGACACAGGTGCCCAAGTTTCTCTCGTACCATTAGGTAGCAGCAAGTAGGTAGCAGTAAGACCTACAATGATTAAATTACGCGCTGCGAATGGCTCTGTTATTACTACCTAGAGTACACGACAGCTAACGGTCAACCTGAGCAACCGACGGTAGTACCTATGGACATTCATCGTTGCTATTGTTCCCATAGCCATAATCGGTATCGATTTCCTACATTACAATGAATCAAAAGTCCATTTGTGGTGTGTGCTACTTATACGAACGATATAAGTAGTATAAGAAGGGACGTGAAAGAAGTCTCACGGTCAGAAGAGGAAAAATGAAAGCAAATGGAGCAAAAGCAAGAAGTAAATTTAGTACCAACAGGAAGGAAAGGAAGCAACAACAGGAATGGAAGAAGGATGGAGTGTTGGAAGT